ACACACACACACACACACACACACACATAAATGAGGCGAATTGGCAACGTCTCCATCAGCCACACCCGCGGCCACCATCACCAGCTATCACACCCTGCACTGCTTTGCAAGCTTCGCTGACCTCTGGCTTAGCGTGGTCCTTACATCTACCCAAACCTCGCATCAAGCCTCCTCTCATCACCCAAGCACTCGATCCTTCTCCAAGAAGCGCCCGCATTTCCGCCAGCGCTCTCAGTCATGTCTGCTCCACTGGTGCCAACCATATCGCCCCCAGACGAGCCAACATCCAAAGCGGAGTCTGGCCTATCCAGCTTGGCCAACGTTAGGTCCGCACTACTCTCGGTGCCTGGTAGCAATGGCAGCCCTAGACCTACGACGCCAGATCACGTTTTGGCAAACACCACTGGATACACGGACACAGTATTTGAGGGCAAGAGGGATCAAGCTGCTGCTGTGACAAAGCTATTGAAGGACAAGGGCTTCATCCCGCCAGACCTCGTCGATGCTGAAGTGCAGTGGTTCTATCAGTGAGTAATAGACAGCGGGAATGGCGCGGGGCAAAGAATGAAGAGCAAATTCGAGCAGGAATTCTGGATCTCTCGAGTGGCACAGAGGTGATGCTGATACGTCCCTCCGCTCTCCTCGTTGCGCAGAAACCTAGGCATAGACGACACTTATTTCGCTTTGGAGACGATCGAGACGATCTCAGATCACGTCTTGGCTCTATTTGGCGCCAAAATCCAAGCTTACACCAAGCACAGCAAGGATCTTGTGATCGATTTGGAGCACGCCACTGAGGGCGGAGCTGTTTTCATTCATTCCAGCAAGGCAGGCGAGAGCCAAGTTGGTGGCCCTCAGTGGGAGCGCAGGTGAGTCAAAAAGGGTCAGGTGGCTTGCGAATCAGTACTGACGATGCGTGTCACTGTTGTTCTGTGCCTGACCTCGCGATCGCAGGATCGATGCAACTTATTTAGACAAGTCGTCCGTCTCCAAGGCTTATAGGCTCGAGACTTATCGAAGTGCTGGGAGCGTTTCAGCTCAATCCAAGCAGCAACTTCGCTGCTACTTTTTGGCTCGATGCAACTTCGCACAGCCGGTGCCAAGCGCCAATTCTGCAGAGTACAGCGACATCACAAAGGTGGGGGACAAGACTTTCCTTACCAAAGCCAGTCCTAACACCCTAGAGATCTATCAGACGGTGATGGATGAGGTGCTAAGGCGTCATGGGCCAGTCATTGAAATGTACGAGGTCGAGGGCTCTCGCGAGCGACGAGTCGTCATTGGTTATAGGATGGGCACGACTACAAGCTACTTCAGCGCCTTGTCAGACCTCTACCACTTCTATGGTCTCTTCAGTTCACGCAAGTATGTCGAACAGTTCAGCAACGGGGTCACGATCATTACAATCTATTTGAACCCTCTGCCGGCATCGAAGAGCCCGCCGATCGAGCTGTCTATCTACCAGGTCATCAAGGAAGCATCGTTGATCTACGTGCTGCCAGACAACCCCTTCTTCGCCCCTGGATCCGCCGACCACGCAGTCCAAGAAGCGGCGTATGCCTACTGTGGCTGGCTCTTTGCTCAACATTTCTGCAACAGGCTTGGTCAGGCTTACCAAGCGTTGCGCAATGTTCTAGATGAGGCCAATCCGGCGCACGCCTCCATCCTGAACGACATCAAGCTTCGCTTCCGTGAAGAGACTTTCACACGCCAATCTATCCAAGAGGTGATGCAGTCACATCCGGATCTCGTAAGGCTGCTCTACGTTCACTTTGCCAATGTCCACTATCCAGGTGGCGCAGATGATCACGAGCTGGTACCAACTCTCAGCTACCAGAGATTAGTCAAAGAAGAGGTGCTCAACGATGGGCAGATGTACGATCGTATCCGAAAGGCAGCTGCTAACCAGCATGAGCTGCAAGTACTCCAAGCTTTGCTGTTCTTCAACAAGGCCGTATTGAAGACAAACTTTTACACGCCAACGAAGGTCGCTCTATCTTTCCGTCTGGACCCTGGCTTCTTGCCGGAAGCAGAATATCCCAACAAGCCTTACGGAGTGATTTTTGTCGTCGGCTCCGAGTTTCGTGGCTTCCACGTCCGCTTTGCTGACGTCGCTAGAGGCGGTATCCGAATCGTGCGAAGTCGCAATCGCGAGAACTACAGCATCAACCAGCGAACTTTGTTCGACGAGAACTATGCCCTAGCGAGTACGCAGCATCTGAAGAACAAGGACATTCCGGAAGGCGGAAGCAAAGGTACCATCTTGCCAACTCTCGAGGCAGACCCCAAGCTGGCGTTTGAGAAATATATTGATGCGCTGCTCGACATACTGATCAAGGGGCAGACGCCTGGTGTCAAGGAAGAAATTGTGGATCTGCTCGGGAAAGAAGAAATCCTGTTCCTCGGTCCCGATGAAGGCACTGCGACTTTCATGGATTGGGCTGCCGAGCACGCTCGCGACCGTGGTGCACCTTGGTGGAAGTCTTTCACCACCGGAAAGACAGCCGCAACGCTTGGTGGAGTGTAAGTTGATGTGAGGAACGTCTTGTGACGAGTCTGTTCGCTAACTCGCCCCTCTTTCGACCGTCGCAGACCTCATGACACTTATGGCATGACGAGTCTCTCTGTTCGGCAGTATGAGCTTGGCATCTTGCGAAAGCTCGGCTTGAAAGAGGAGACAGTGACCAAGGTACAGACTGGTGGTCCGGACGGAGATCTCGGCAGCAATGAAATCCTGCTGTCGACTGCATCCACAGTGACGATCATAGACGGCTCTGGCGTACTGCATGATCCCAAGGGTATCGATCGACGAGAGCTCATTCGACTAGCGAAGGCGCGCCAAATGATCTCAAACTTTGACACCACCAGACTTTCTGCTCAAGGCTACCGCATCCTGGTGGAGGAGAATGACGTTCGTCTGCCAACAGGCGAGATCATCACCGATGGAATGTCGTTCCGCAATTCGGCGCACCTGCGATACAAGGCGGATATGTTGGTCCCTTGTGGAGGCAGGCCCGAGTCAATTAACATTTCCAACGTCGGTCGATTGTTTGATGCAGACGGAAAGCCCCTCTTCAAGTACATTGTCGAGGGTGCAAACCTCTTCATTACAAGGCAGGCGAGGCTTGAGCTCGAGCGCAAAGGCTGCATCCTCTATGCGGACGCTAGCGCCAACAAGGGTGGCGTTACATCCTCCTCGCTTGAGGTCCTGGCCGGCTTGTCGCTTACAGACGAAGAGTATACGCGCAGGATGATGTTCACCAACGGAGCCCCATCTACCTTCTACAAGAGCTACGTGGCAGATATTCAGCACGTCATCATTGGCAACGCCGAAAAGGAATTCGAAGCGATCTGGCGCGAAGCTGAAAAGACGGGCAAACCTCGCTCGGTGCTGTCCTCTGAGCTTTCTCTTGCTATCAACACTTTATCCGACGAGTTGGCGGCTACGGACCTGTACGATAATTTGAACATCAGAACGGCTGTGCTCACTCACGTCTTCCCTAGAACCTTGCTGGAGAAGGTGGGTTTGGAAGAGCTCACGCATAGAGTACCTGATCAGTATCTCCGAGCAGCGTTTGCGGCGTTCTTGGCAGCCGACTTTGTCTACACTAGAGGTCCTTCAGCAAGTCATGTCGCCTTTTACAAACACGTCGCCTCCCTATCGTCGGGCAAGTCCGCGCACTAGATGCTCCACTACGAACCTCTCTTTGCCCGAAGGTGCTCGGCGCAACGTACACATAGGCGGACTTGCCACTTGAACGTGGTCCGCTGCCCTTTCCAGTACTCGATAGATTGTTACACGTAATTCTCACAAGCTGGCAACTCGGCGCAGTAGCGCAATCGATGAGAAGTATCTTCCTTGACGCGCCGTCGTTGTTGTGAGCGGGGATCATTTGTTCGTCGTGGGGGGTATCGAGTGCAGTAGAACTTGGCGCGCAGGTTGGCGAGCCTCTGCGGCGTCGAGAGCGAGTGCTTGCGCTGCAAGGGCCATGACCGAGTCCACTCGCCGCTACTTGGGATGATGTGATATGAATTGCAGTAATCCATGGCCATGTCGATCTCAGCCATCGTCCAAAGCGCATCGAAACAAGAAGGTCAAATCTCCTCGCGCAAAAGTACATGCTCACCCTTCCGACTTTTCTTGGAACGAGGCTGTGCAAAAGACGCCGCTGCTCTGCATGCACAACGAAATACGAACGAACAATGCTTTCTTTGCCTGCACATCACTCGCAATAACAGACTCAACTGCAGCATATGGATCCGCGCGGCTCCTCCTTTAATTTCTCGTTGGCACGCGCCTCTTTCGCAGCAGCTGCAGCAGCAGCAGCTAGCATGCTGTATTCGCGATTCGCTGCTGCTGTTGCAGCTACGCGTATACAGCGGCGAGGTGCCGAAGGCCGTGCAGTAGGGCTGTGCATCGTGCCATGGCGGGCGGCAGGACATTGCAAAGGCCGGCGCGCACCTGTCCAAGGCGCGCGGTGTTGGATCAGAGATCCATGCGTGCTGCTATAGCTTGGCTGCAAGAGCTTAAAGAGGAAAGGCGATGGTGACACCGGCGTCTCTTGGGTTCGCTACCAACACTTCGCTCGGACTCATCTAGCCTGAAGGCCTGCTACAACACAGTCTACACCTCCAAACGTTTCTCTCAGACAGGGCATCTTTCCGAACGAAAGCTGGACGACGAATCTGGCACGCGACATTGATCAGTCCACCTCAGCGATCACGGCTGCTCTACCTGATCCGGTGCTCTGCAGCCAGCTCTTCTGCCTTTCACTGCCGAATCCTAGCGAACTTTTGACCCGCCAAGGCACTGCAAATCGACCAAGCGCTCAATCTTGGAAAGATGCTGGATTGGTATAGTTATCCGGCATCCAGAGGCATCCTCTACGAGCCGCTGGAACGAAGGGCATCTCGCATCACGCCGACGGCCGATCAACGCACGCTCATCATCGTAGCTTGCGTCTACGCAGTAGTGATAGCCATCATCTGGCATGTGCCATACATCAAGCTCGTCATTTATCCCTTCAAGCTCTTGACTGTGGCATTTCACGAGTTCGGACATGCTGCCGTCGGGCTGTGTACGGGCGCCAAGATTGAGAGCATAGAGCTGGATCCGAACGAGGGTGGAGCTACGAGGATGAGAGGAGGTGTGCCTTGGCTCACCCTTCCTGCTGGATATCTGGGCAGCTCTTTCGTCGGAGCGGCACTCATCGCTTGCGCGTTCGACATTAGAGCTAGCAAAGTCGTCACCTTTGGTGAGTGGTCGCAAGAGGGAAATCGGAAGGCTCTGGAGCATGCGCTCATCACGATGCATCCACCCGCCGTCCTGCTAGTCCTGGCGGCCTTCTTTTTGCTGACCTTGTGGTGGGCGAGGAGAGATTGGTTGTGAGTGCGAAGCGCTTTGGTGGCTCTCGCGACAGCCGCATGCGTAGGATAATGGCAGGTATGGCTCTGGAGGGGCCACATCTGGAAGCGCTGACGATGAATGCTGTTCATGTCGCCACTGATTTGCTCCTGCTAAGAACATGGGTGCTCTTGATTGTGAGTTACTGCATGTTGCATTGCACATATGCATCTGGATGTCGCTCATGCCTTTCGCCTATTTCTTTTGCTTCGCAGTGCATGGCTGGTCGTGAGTGTCAAATGTGACACACCTCGGCTTCACGCTGCTGTTGCTCGAGTACCTTACTATCCACGCTCTGTGCCTGCAGTCATCGTAGGATTCTGGTTCATCGCGAACGGAGTGGCTTTGCAGTTTTTGGTCCTCTTCATCGTGAGTCTGCGGTCAAGACAGAGCTCACTTCTTGCTCGGCGACTGATGGACACCGCATGTATACCTTTGCTGCAGGGCGTCATGTCATGGTGAGTGTAGGACTGCACATCGACAAGCTGGCACGACCTGACCAATCGCTCTTGGCCCCACCCCGAAATTTGCCCCTTGATAGTCTGTGAGCGCAGATGCTTGTGAGCTACTCCGGTTATGAAACTCCTGGCTGACGCCCATTTCCGATCCTGCGACAATCAGGTACTCACTGTGGGATATCTGCGACGACCTCATTTTCCGCAAGGTCAACGAATCGGATGCAACTGCTTTCGCAAAAGTGGTCGGATGCTTCCCTCCGCAGCTGTGGGGAGTCTTGTGGCTTATCATTTCCTTGGTGTTTTTCGCTGCGGGCATTATGTGAGTCAAAAATCCTGTCCGGACCAGTGGCGAGTCGTCGTCGTCCCTTGCACTTGAAGCTGATGAGATTGAGCTTTCCACGTTTTCATCGCAGCATCGGCATCGTTGCATTCAAGGATCCGCTGTCCGAACAGAGAGCCGACGACTTCTTGAACACTCGATAGGCTGACGCGTGGAGTGTCGCTCTCCACCGTGCGCAAGAACATGTTGACCTCGAATCCGAGACTGTCAGACTTGCTCTATCTCATTTGCTCTCTGTGAAAGTGGCTCGATCATGTTGTAAACAGTGAACACCTCATGCACGGACAATCAGGATTTGTACATCTCCCCCGTCATTGGCGGGCATACGCGCGCGTAGATTGTGTACGCCTTCTGCGGCGAGGTACCCCTGCAAAAGACAAAGCTGCTTTGACCTCGTCCACCCTGACAGACACAGCGACGTACGAGCCTATAGGTACGAGTCTAGGTAGCTGTGCTGCGATGGTGTTACTTGAGGCTGCCCAAGATCAGTCAGCCATCAGCTAGCGTGATATAGCCAGTGTTGTGCCAATAATGATGAGTGAGTTGCGCGTCGTCTCCGCTTTATCCGCGAGACGTCATGCTTGCTCTCGCATACATAAAGCTGTCCAGCGGACGTACATGTACGCGCGCCACCTGTCCATCCGCAAAGCAAAAGATCCGAACGAGATCCGAAAAAGCTCGCGCGGCAGCGAGCGACGAGCAGCATCATGGAGTACGGCTCGCCATCGAGCGTCTTTCACGCTCATGCTCATCCGTGGCTTTGAAGCACATCGCGTTGCTGGTACTCGTTCTGGAGCAGACTACAGATAGAGGACGGCGAGTGCATAGAAGCGAAGCAGACACCTTGCAGCTCCGAAGCCGCACTTCACTTTCTTGGTCGGCTGCGGGCTCGGCTGCGAGGGCAATGGTAGGCGTGGGTGGGTAAGTTGATTCGATGATTGACCGATCGACGCTACTGCGCACATCATGCCATGACCCCGGGGCATGACGAGCCAGGGAACAGTCAGGATGGTATAAGTGGGTGGTATGGATAAGAGGAGAACAGTGAAGGGCCACCTCTTCCAAATACATCCAGACAAGGGCCTGTTTCTCTTTTGAAGAGACGATCACATTCGCCGATACCAACCCACTTTGCCTTGCCTTCCTCGTCAGTCACCAGTCCACTCACAATGACATCGACATATCGATCTCCTCCACTTCACAATCCACTCAGGTACAACATTTGGATCCCAGCTTCCGATGGCAGCAGACTCGCCGCTTGGTTCTGCCCCGCTCTGGTCTCTGGCTCTTCATCTGGGTGCAAAAGACCTGTAGTGGTGTGCGCTGGCGGTCTGGGCGTCATCAAAGTACGTTGCTTGTTTCGCTTGCACGGAAATTCGATACGACGACACAAGAGAGCGGGGCTGTGCTGACCAAGGACAAGATCGTCTTTCGTCGTTGTAGGAGATGAGACTACCAGCTTACATGTCCGCCTTTTCGAGCGCTGCATATCACTGCGTTGCATTTGATTATCGATGCTTTGGAGAGTCTACAGGAATGCCGAGACAGTTGCTGGATTTTGAGAGCCAGCAAGCAGATTGGAAATGTGTCATTGAATGGGTCGTGAAGAATGGGCAGAGCAAAGGGGCAAAGGGCGGTCCTGAGGCCTCAAAGGATTCCGTGACCGGAGCCCCATCCCCACTCGCTGGAGATTCCTTGCCGAATTTCGCAGATCTCATCGACCCGACGCAGATCGCCCTGTTTGGCACTTCCTTTGGCGGAGGGCATGTGATCAAGCTGTCTTCGCAGCTCCCTGCGCTAGGCTTGCCCATCAAATGTTCCATCTCCCAATGTCCATTCACGGACGGCTACGCTTCCAGCAAAACGGTCAAGAGCATCTACGCGAAGCTTTACGTCGGAATTTGGGGAGCGACGGATAAGGTCAGTGCCGTGGTGCGCGGCAAGGACGCTCCTCCGATCACGATACCCTTGGCGGCGAAAGATGGCCAGCGTGAGTGGAGAAACGTGATGGGGGCGCGACGGGACTCCCTCCGGTAGCCTAGAGGGACTCGATCGGCTAACACTTTCGACATGTGACTGGTTCACATTGATGAACTCCCTCGCAGCTGCGCTGATGAATGCCCCAGACGTCTATGCGAATTACATTTCCCAATTGCCAGCCTCCATCAAGGACAATTTCGTCAATGCGGTGTCTGCGCGAACAGCTCTCTCTATTCCTTTTCTGGTGCCAGGCTCCTACGCCGCTTCCGTCCAAATCCCCATCTTGTATGCTATATGCGGCAAGGACTCGGTGGCGCCTGCTCAGACCACTCGAAGGTACGCTCAGGAGAGCGCAAGAGGAGAAATCGCGTGGTTCGAAGAGGAGGGACATTTTGATCTGTATCAGGGACAAGGGCTGGAGAAGGCTACTAGGAGATATGTACAGTTTCTTCAGGCACACTTGAAATGAAGAGTGGTCGCTAGTCTCACTGTATACCTTGCCGTTGTGCGAGCGCTGATCTGGGTACCAGCCATGCTCATCGCTCACGACTCGTGAGACCTTTGCAAAGCCGAGTGCATATGCTTCGCTGCACACTTGCGGCATGCACACCCCAGGTTGCCAGACTGCTCCGCTCGAAGCCATTGACGCAGGTGATGCCTCTTGACTGCCAAGCATGAAGGATGCCTGCTGATGACTGTTCTATTCACCGGCATGTGAAATCAAATGATGTGACAGCTGGCGAGGGGCTGGATCGAGCGCCGATCATGCAGCATCAGTCGAGAGGGAAGCAGACAACGTCGAGACGGGTATTCCGATTCAAGATTAGCTCGATTCAAGATTGTAGATCCAGCGCCCTCGCCGCTTGAGGTATCGTATTTGGCGCAGCAAACAAGAATCCCTCAAGACTACAACAAGATTACTATTGAAATCAAGAATCCGAGTGCGTTGCGGTATGTCAATGTTGAAAGATTTGTCGCTTTCGAGTTGTGCCTTCGGATCACGAATCTTGAGCAGCCGTGAAACCTTTCGACTTTGCTTTGAAGTCTGCTGAAGGGGCCCATGCATGATGTGCAGTCGCGCGCAGACGCCCACGCGAACGCCCACGCCCATGCACTTT